TATATTGTGAAAAGATTGCACTCATTTGAGAGCAAAACGATTTTAAAGCTATTATCTGACAATCTTTCATTTAACATTTGAATTTCAAAACACCTTGTATTTGTGTTCTCATTGCAAAGACATATATGGAAACATTCTAAGAGAAGTCTAGAAATCAGAAAGGCATTTCAGCTGTAATTCACATTGGAAAGAACATGGAATACCTTAAAAATATCCACATGCATTACCAAAAATACTCAAATGGGTTCTCAGATAGTGCAGGAGGCAACGCCATTGAAGTGACAAGTCTTCTTTAAAGCTTGGAGGTAGGGCACCATCATCTCTCTTCAGATGTGGTGACTAAAGAAATCTCTTGCTGAGGGTACTTCATATTCTATGAACCTGTTTTAGACAGAATTATTCCCAAAGGTTTTCAAGATCAGCTAAGTGAGCAGACAACAAATTCATTCAGAGCTTAAAAGATGTAAATCTATTTTCTATCTCTGCTCCTGATGTGACCTCAACACAGTAAGCAGAGGCTCTAGGGGTCTGTTCTAGCCTCTCTGTTACATTTATTAATGGGAAAAGAAGAAAGAGGGTGTTTATATTATTGTAAAGGTGACCCCCCTCACAAAGCATCACCTACATATTACTGCAGAGCTGCCAATACACAAAATCACATAATGGGCATGGTTGGAAGGGAACACAGTGGGTTTTCGCAGATCTGGGCTAGCCAGAAATGTCAAATTTGACCCCAGCCATGGAAATATTACTTATTGGGCCAGGGAGAGAACAGGCATAAAAATTGGTTTCTTAAATTATCTACACAAAAAAAAAAACCACCAAAACAAACAAACAAACAAAAAAGCATAAATAATTTTGATACATACAATACATTGGAAATGTCATTATTCAAATAACCACTACAAATTGCTAAGTATAGGTGAAAACTTTTATAATAACCAAACTCTAGTTTAAATAACATTTAGATGCATTTAATGACATTGTGAAATATACATTGTTTCAAAATAATTAAACAAGTTAAAGGAACAAAAATCAGTCAAAGAGTGTTAAATTCAGAAGGCAAACTCTCTTGCACAGTCCTTCAGCCAAGTGCTAGTGGGATTATTCAGGGGAGTATCCTAAGCTTGTGCCCTGTTCAAAGACTATTCTCATAATCGGTGTCTGAGACAGGCCACTGGGATTGAGAAACACATTTTCACAAGAGTGTGTCTGAATTAAAACTTTAAGTTCAGCTCTGCAGCCGTCAATCTTATTTTGTCTTTTCCACACTTCAGAAGTAATGTGGTGCTGCCATCAGCTGGAGTTAATGATGTAAAGAAAAGGGTCTTTTTGAGTAGAAACTGTTGTGTCACTGTGTACTTGAGCCTCTCAGTCTGAGTGGGAGTTGTGTCTACACCTGGAAATTCAGAGGTTTTTTTGTCTGTCAACAAAGGCTGCTTACTTGGTTTACATGTATAAACATGGAACACCCAACCTGCTTCCCTTCTGAATGGAGCCTGAACCTTCCCTTGTGTATTTCTAATTTAGTGAGCAGAGCCTGACCTTTTGGGGTTTTTTTCATGTAATTCTTAGGACTATCAGGAAGCTTCCAACTTGGAGCAGTTTGTGACTTGCTTTCTTTTGAGGGAGACACTGAACCAGCTGCAATCAATCCCTCCAGAGCTCCCTGGAGTGTGCCATGGAAACCACAGAGGAGCAGACCTGGCAGGAGAGGTGAGCAAACCCCTCTTCAGCTGGGGGATGGGGGTGAGGAGTGAGGTCACTGCAAACCTCCATGACTGCTTTACATTTCACCCAGAAATCTGACATGGGGAGTAACAGGAGAAATAAGGATACAGTTTTTATTCCCTATAAGAACTCACTAATAGGAGTTTTCCTGAAATTGAATGTCCAGATGGTCATATGGTGGGCGGCCTGTAAGACAATAATTTTGGTACATGCTAGGCTCTGAGAACTTCTTTTTAAATCCATGGGCAGTTTAATATCAAATGTAGAAACCAAACCATTGCAATATGAAAAGCTCTGAAATTACTAAGATGACTGACTGTATTGTTTGTTTTTTCCAGCTTTATGATTTTTTTTTCATGCACAGTGATCTCCATTTTCCTTTAGTTTCACCTAAATGAACATTTTATTAGTTGCAGCATAATCTTTGAGAAGCCAAATAAATTGCAGAGTAGTTTATTTTTAAATATAAAATACAGTAATAAACTGTCTACCAGCAACTTAGTAACATTTCATAAATGTTTATCATTTATATTTTCCAAAGGTTGGATTGAGGAAGACAACCAATGGGTGATCCAGATAAACAGACTCCAGAAGCTAACTGATAGACTGGAAAAGAAGGTGTGTGGGCTTTTTCACCTGTTTCTTGTTTCACTTTCAGTAAAGAAATCCTTAAAACATAAATATTTTCAGTGCCCCAGCAACATTACCTAAGAGAGCTAACACCCATTAAATGCCTACATTTTTCTTCCACCTTCCTCTTTCCTACTCATGACTTTGTTTTTACATGCTTCCTTTTCCTCCTGCCATCACCACAGATTCATAAAGATGTGAAAAAATGTATTACTTTATGACTGGAGGATGTTAATGTGTTTAGTTATACTTGTTTGGGGGAACATGCTACAACCTTCCCCTTTTAGGATCTGATATTTTCCTCTTCCTCTCCAAACGTTCCCATGAAACCTTGACAGAAAGTTTTGTTTTCTCCTTTCCCATCAGAGAATACTCATTTATATTCTATTCTATTCTATTCTATTCTATTCTATTCTATTCTATTCTATTCTATTCTATTCTATTCTATTCTATTCTATTCTATTCTATTCTATTATTAAACTGCTTTCCTGGTCAGTACAGTTCAACCAAAATCTGATGCAAATCCTTCTTGGGAGCTGGCTGCAGCAGCCCCCAGAGCCCAGAAACCACCTGTGGTTCCCACACCAAAGCAGAGTCCTCCAGGAGTCTGACAAAGAACCCGTCTGATCCAGCAATGCCAGGGCTTCCCAGTGCTCATAAAATCCTGAGCCACATCTGTCAGTACAGAAACTATCTATTCTTGATTATTATTCAGACTTGATTGCTACCCTGGTGGTCAAAAGTTGTCTTATAATCTATATGTGATGACTTTTTTTTTTGGAGAAGAAAGAGCAGCAGAGGAAAAAGTAAGGTTGTAAATTCCTGAGTTTTTCTCTGCATTAAGTTTCCCTATTGAAGGACAGACAGACAATTTCAGGTAGGCACTAGGGGAGTGGCTGAATTCAGTGGATTTTGAGACCCAGGATGTTTCTTTCTCCTTGTCCACTAGAGGTGTGGTTTTGGGTTGAAGTGCTCTCAGACCCAGGAGTAGCTCCAGTCCCAGTGCAGCCGATCCTGTTTCTACAGGTCAGTGCTCACCAGCAGTGGGACTGTGCCTGTACTCCAAAGACATTGGCATGGGTCTCTTCACCAGCACCCACACACCGGCAGCACTCACAGGGACATGAAACTGCCTGACCCTGTTCTTTCTTTCTAGCTGATTGGGATATTCCCCTGTGAATATTATCATCTAGTATTCGTGGTTAGACCCATACTCCTTACCCAGGCACTGGCTCAGACCTTGGGTCATGGCACAAAAATGTCTCCTGTTACTCCACCACTAGTCCAACTTGAGTCCAGTAGGAAATTACACACACAGAAAATAGTTAAGTAAGGATTTAACAAAAAAACCTCAATAAATGGTGGTGACTTGGCACAGGGCTCAGCAAGAGAAGCATACTGACATTTCTCTGCCATTCCTCCCTCCCAAATGAAAAACTGCCCCTAATTACTTTTCTCCCCTTGGTCCCAGTTTGGTATTTCTGTTATCTCAGCCTTATTACTGATTAGCTGCATATGGTCACCCCCAGCACTGCTGGCCTTGCTCCTAAAGGAGCCCAGCATTCCCTTTGGTTATCCCTGCAGTCTGACAGGCTCTCGCATCACTTCTCCTTAACCAGCCATGAAATTTGGCCATTCTTTGTGGCACTGTCCATGACTTCTGTCAGCTTCTCACCCTGCTCTTTGCCACGCTCCACAGCTCCTCATGGTCTGCTCAGTCCAGTAAGCTCTGGCCAGGGAATACCCGTGAGCCTCTATCCAACCACTTCCCCCCGGAGGCCATTTCTGCAGGGAAAAGGCAGTTACACAGCAGCTGCCACATTAATGATGTTTTAGTAGCAACTTGATCTTTTTCTGAATAGATATAAATTGGATTTTGAAATGTCAAAGTCCACTATGAAAGGTAAGTCTGGCTTTATTCCCTGCTCTGCTTTGGAAACAGCAGCTCTGCCACAGTTGCCACATGACTGATGGCCTGATGCCAAAAGAAAACATTTAAAAGAATGTTACTTAAAAAATAAATAAACCTGGCACACAGCAATAATGCAATGCAAATGTTACAGAAAGCAGACAAACATTTTGTGGTAAATTAACTTACAACAGGATGTTATAAGATGATCAAATGTCCTACAGAAAAATGACAGAGAACCTCAGTCTGAAAAGGAACTTGGTGCCAAAGGCGAACAGTGGCAGGACATAGACCTCCCATAATTACCTCCTTGTCAATATAAAACTTGATTAATAAAACATAGAAGTCTAACAACCTATATCCACCTCTGCCTAACTCTGCATCTGCTTGACTTTGTATCTCACAGCCATGTCAGACTGTGAGAGGCATTAAATATCAGCTGCCTTTCAGCAGCTACTAAAACCCCTCTTTTTGACTTTGCCCTGAAACAGATTAGAAAGGATTGCACAACCACACTAAAAAGCAATTTCAGAAGCCACCACTTCTGAGCTGAGGTGAAGTAGGATTGCAGAAGCATTTTAAAGCCCTAGCTCTGAGCTGCATCATTTTTATTTCCAGGCTGCATGGTACGGGGCTGGCAGGAGCTCTGTTCTGCACTGGGCTACTTCCACCAGGCTCAAGAGCCAAGCCAACCAGCCACGAGCCCTCCTTCCACACAGATGGGGATCATGTGCCAGTGCTCACACGCTTGGGGTCACCCAGGCTGCCTGTGCAGACCCACCCCATCTGTGCAGCCACGCTCTGCCTGACAATACAACATTAGTGCAGAACTACCAGAGATTAGTTTTAACTCCTAAAGAGGGCTAGCACGTTATCAGTCAGTGTTCCTACTGGAAAACTGTCTGATGAAGGGTAGATTCAGTGCTCTCTAAGTCTTCTGCTGTGTTCTGTCAAAGGGGAATTTGATCATCAATTAGTCCTGAAATTTGTCTATTTTCACTCAAGTTCTAAATTTACATATACTGGCAAAGAAAACAATTATTTTCTTGCTACATTTAAAGAAACTTTGCAGTACTTCCTTGAGTCATTCTTTTCCTCTCTTTTTCATATGTTTCCTGAGGAAAAAAATGGCAGTGAAAGTGAACTCTCACTTCAGGAATACACATTTTTCACTTGGTCTTTTAATCCAAAGTGTGTGCACTGACAATAAAGCTGTCTGTCTTTCCCTTCACACACACTTTTCATGACTTTAACTACACAGCAGTTTCTGAATACTTCAGTCCTGCCTTGCTCTGCCACCTGCTGCTGGTGGAGGTGCTCTGTTCATTTGAATTCTACCTGCACATCTCTTGTTGGCTTTTCAGAGAGTACAGCATCTGTGCTGGCAGAACAGCTGCTACCTGAGCTTAATCAATCCTCCCCCACGCTGGGAGGGGAAGAAAATTTTTCTCTTTGTTGCACAAGAACTGTGTTCAGTGAGAAGTGAAGCACCACTAACAGAGCGTGTTTTGCTCCAGCTGCTTATTGCAAATCAATCTGCAGGGTTTTTTTCAGGCATATGGGTATTTTTCAGAATATCATAATGGCACTGGGTTAGGAGGTACTGCTTGTGCCATGTGCCTGGCAAGTAAAGAATGATTTTGTGTGCTAGTGGTTGGTGTTTGTGTGAATCACTGATTCCTGAAGTGCACACCCAGTTCATGTACCAGGTGTGCTCACAGACACAACTCTTTGCTGCAGCCCAGCCTGTCCTCACAGCAAGGGCAGCAGTTCAGAAACCTGACTTGGACCATCATGCACATCTCTTTCAATGCTAGAAAACAGCCCCTTGAAACTACAGATTCCCTGCAGGGAAGTTTCTTCTGTGTAAAGTTTAATGATTGCAAATTAGTAGCCGATAGTTCATTTCAAATTACCATTCTTGCTCATTTCCACAGCCCATGTGACAATTTGAGAGGATGACTGTCTTTTCTCCATTAAGTCCAACATACATTTGGGAGCAAGCAGATTTGTTAAAATGAAAAAAATCAAGCACTATAAATAAAACTTTACAAGACAGCCTAGGCTGGAATTAACCACTGAGTCATGCAAGATCTTGTAAACACTTGTGTTTGACTTAGAACTAATAAAGAAGGGATTTAAATTTCTTGAGGTAGAACAGAATCTAGTTATTCAAATCCTTTGTTAAAAAATGTAAGAGCAGAACACAGCTGTAGTATTGACTCTTCTTACAATTCCTATTTTATTTTCAATTGTCTCAAAGGACCTAAAGCTTCAGCCATTTGAAGAGGAAGTTTTGGAAGAAAATGAAAAATCTGTAAGTACTGTTCAAGATAACGATTTTGACATTTTATTTTAAACACCAGGCATTGAGACCACACCTGGTCTCTTTTGTTAAAAAATAATTTAAAAAATCTTTATCCTCACTTTTTCCAGTGATAAGAATCCATTTTAGTTAGCAGAATACCCTGTGCAAAAGTCAACAGAACAAAAATTAGAATATGTGGGCAAAAGCTTTTATATTAATTTTTTGTATTGTTTTCAAAGGCTGGAGTGAGCCAAAACCTTAACACACATAAGGAGAAAAATGTGTCATTAATAAGATTTTTCAAATTTGTCAGCAATGTTTATGGTGTGGTAGCTTCTCTGCTCCAAGTGCTGCATGCATGCTTTAACCACTGCTGTACAGCCTCCTTCCCAAAACTGCTATAGGAAATCTTATGAGGAAAAATGGAAGAATATCTTGTGCTCATTACAACCTACAAAAGCAAAATCATGACCAAAAATAAACTTACCGTTAAACAAGTTTATGTTCCAAGATTGATATACTAGCATTCCTAAATTCATGAACCTAACATTCTTTCATTTGAATCTAACAAAATGCAAATCAAATACACATGAAAAAAATATTTAATCACAGAAGTTGCATTAGATTTTTTTTTAATGAGATTATGAAGTATTTCTACACAGAATGCTTATATAATTGCTTTAAATATTCCATTAGTAAAGTTGACAAGCTTCAATAGATTAATCAATAAATAAACTACTTGAAAGAGCTAAATGATAATTATACTAATTCAGGATAAGTAGGTCTTCTGCACTGCTGACTGTTTCCATAGTCCTTTTATAAAGACTGTTCATTCTCCTGCAGAATTATGGAGGGAAACCCCCCTCTCTATTCATCACTTAACATGGGCTATCTTAGGCATCTCACTCAGGTGAGGGTCAGGGCTCTAAAAGGTAAAAACTACCAAAGCCCCTTAACAAAACAACAATGCATCCATTGCAGATTGTGGGGATATGCTCCTATCCCAAACCTCACAGCTGCTGGCAGACAGATTCATCCAAGGAAACACACTGACTTTATTACTGAACATCGCTTTGCCCTCTTCTGAAAAGACTCTCTCCTCCAGAGTTAGGTCAACTGTCTGAAGTGGACACTCATGCCTAGACATAAAAGCCATGCTTGAGCATTTCTGCTTCTCCACTTCCAAATCACTAAAACAGGGACTTCAAACTTCAAGGGAACTTTTGTGGGTTTTCTTTTATGATTGTGGTTTGTATTGTTTCGTGGTAGACTTTTCTGAGTTTAAAGTATAAGGAATTCAGGGGAAGATGTGGCAGTAATATTCAGTAATATTGTAATGGTTTTGTAGCAGCACATAATGATTGTTCAGCATCAAATGTTGGTGATAGAAGAAAAAGTGGAGGAATTCCATCTTGCTCTGAAACAGTACGTGGAATCTGCTTCTGCTCAAGGTGGCTGCTTGCAGTAAGTACAGTGTTATTGTCTTTGGGCTGAAGGAAGAAATGGAGTCTTTTTTCCTTAATAGCTCAGATTATTTATGAAGAGGGTACCTATGACACCTTTCTTGCTGGGTTATGTGTGTGTGTAAGATGGAGCTTTTCAAAGACACCTAGAACTAGAAAGAGATGTCAAAATGTGCAGATTTTTATCACAAAATGACAGTACATCCCAAAGATGCTAAACAACCTTTTCAGGCTTGTTAGCTCTGCAGGTCATCAGTCCATGACTTCTGGAAGCTCCTAGGCTGATACTCTCTATTGGAAAACTCATTTGCCATGCTTCATTTGTGCTCACCTGGCGAAGGAGCAACTTATCAACTTGTTTGCCAGTTCTCTGCTTGAAAGCTTTCAGAATCTTCCCTTTAGGCTGTCATTGTAAAATTTCAATTCATAATAAAGAATTAGAAAAATTAAAAAGCAAAATTTTCAATGAAACTATGTTTTTGCTTTGCTCCTTTTAGAATTAATAAAACATTAGGGCTGGGTTAAGAATAAATTTTAGTGGTTTACCACTGTACTTAGTTTCTGAATTTAACATAGTGGAGAGATCTATCATACATACTACAGACCATTATGGAAAAGATATTTTTTGTAATGTGTACATAATACACGATCTTCCTATATATTCAAGGGTTTCAAAGACTGCCTATCACACACCTAATTTATGAGTCTTATTGCTATGAGATTATCACATTTAGGATTGTATCAATAGTGTTCACATAGACCAGAAAAATTAAGTTGGAAGAAGAGTGATCTTTCTGTAGTGGTTCACTTGTTAAGGCGGACTGATGAGGAAAATAAAATTCTCTTGTCGGCCAAGAGATGGAAAAATCCCCAATGAGAAGTCCTCCCAGCCTCCTCCCAGAAATTAACATCCAGCAAAACACTGTAGTGACTGCAGACTTATCAGGGAAGAGAGATTACATGACTACAGAGTGCAAGTTAACAAACGGTGGCAGAAAGTTTCTTTCCCAAGCTTACAGGCTTGTAAGCCTGTTATGCCACCTAATGGATGGGTTTTGCTGTAGCTGTAATTGACAGCAACTTGTTTTTTTCCAACAGCTTTTGATATTTTTACCATTTTACCATGCACTTTCACATACAGCAGAAGAAAACCAATGAATCATAAAACATTGCTGACTACATTCTAAAGCATAAGCTGAGACCAGTTTTCAAGCACATCATTAGTGAGGTCAGCAATCTCACACTTGGGCATATGGAAAAATCTGTACATATACGTTCTGTGCTATTTATCTAAACACTAATTTGAGCACCCAAATGAATAAGTACCCTCCAGGCTATAAAGCCTTTATGTTCAGGATAATGAACAGGATGATTCTGTGTAGAAGATCAATAGATACTCTGTGGGTCATTTTTCACTCTTGAGAAACTCTTACTTGAATAACTTAAGAACAAGTAACTAGTACACAAGATATTATTTAAAAAACATAACTGCAGCACATATCAGCCTATGTGGCTTTATACTCCATTATACATATACTTCATTTACTCCATTTGCTTTCAAAGCACCTAAATTCTATGACACTTTGATGCATCTCTCATACAAATGTTTAACTTACTAGATGATCTTCCCTGAACAGCTGTTTGATTAATTTTGTGTTTAGCATTTGCTTAGAGAAATTTTGCTGTTGGAGGTATATGAAAAATGAATTTCATAAAAAATATTAATTAATAAAAATAAATATACAAGGGCTTTATTCTTAAAGGCTCAGATAATTTGCAGTATATGGTCATTATGATCACTCATTTGTTAAGTTTATTAATTTGATTGGTTTTGGGTTTGGTTTTTTTGCTCTGTGGGTTTGTTTTTTTTTAAATCACTGCATTTGTTCCTACTCATAAGCAGTTAGGAGCAAAATGTATATGTCAAATAACTTTGTTTTTCATTAAATTAGTTTTATTGTGAAATTTTTAGTGTTTCCATACAGAAGCTTCCAAGTAATTTCCACTTCATTGTTTATGAGTTCTGGGAAAACAGCAATGCCTGGAATAGGTAAGTGAAGTGTCAGGACTTTGGTAGCTTTCTCTTTTTTTTTTTTTTTGGTAATTCATGAAGTTTTGAAGGTTTGAAATCAATTGTGTAGAAGGACTGAGTACAAATTACTTTAAATACTGCTAACAGATCTTTTGCTAAATATGTCACAATTCATACTTCAGAAGAATACTTTAGCTGCAAAAGACTTGTATATACTGAAACATAAATTAAAATTCCAGAAAGACAATGGTGATTATTCGAAAGAGAAAAAGTCTGAAAGTGAGTACATAAAGATAAAGCATTAGGTGGATGTTAGTTCATCAGAGACAGAAAACCAGGAAGAAAACAATATCACCAGTTTCATGGTAAAGAAATAAAAATACACAATTATTGAAACAGAAGATGTGCCAGCCCACAGCACACTTCAGCATGCAAGTAGTTATTGGGAGCTCTCCCAATACTTCCCAATCCACATCAAAGGAACCCATCCAACAGACTCCCAGAGCATCTCTTTTGGGCCCAAAATATAAATTATTAAACATTCTACAAGCTGAATTCTTGCCTCCAGCAAGCAGATGACTAAGAAATTGAGTAGAGACAAAAGGATTGTCCTTATCTACATTTAGCTAAAACACTTAGATAAACCAACCCCATGATCCCAAATCCATAGAGAGAACCTGCTCTTAGGGAGATGGAGAAGTCTCTTGCAGCTTTGCTGCCTTCCTTTCAAACACAACCTCAGTTTTACTGGGTTTCCTATCACAAAGACTCAAGAACACTGGCAACCCATGTCAGCACTGTACTGGGTCACAACCAAGAGATGAGCATCAGACTGACAGCGAGCTGCACAGAAGAAAACCTGTGTTTAATATAACATTCAGGCACTTCATAGCTTATCTGCTCTCTTCTCCCACTATAACTTTAACTTTTGAAGCACAGAATCTCTGTACAACATTAATTGTGAAATTTCTAAAGCTCATTAAAAAAAATTTAGCCTCTTTAAAAAACCTGTTACATTTTTATTTTTTATAATTATTTAGCCACCTATGGCAAGGAATTCCAAAGAAGTAATGTGGATTTCTTAGAAACTCCAGAGCTCATCACAACAATGCTAGTCCCTGGTAAATACCAACTTTTCACATTATTTTTTTTTGTTCCATGTGAAAGGTTTTATTAGTGTGTTCCATATGCAAGACCACTGCATAATATCACCCTTATTCAGATCGTCTTTGGTAAAGTGTAGAGGAGAAAAGGATTCCAAATGTTTTTATTTTAACCACATAAATATAAAATCCATCAGCAAGGATGAGACCCACAGTGCTTTCACACAGTGTGAAGTTACACTAATATACACTATTTAAGAAAATATCTAGAATAAACAATACTATCTGTGAATGATAAAATAGACACCATTTAAGCTTTTCAAGGAAAAAAAATGCTTTCTGATTAAGACTTCAATTTATTCCTATGTACATTTAAGGGAGCCTTAATTACAAATAATTAATATTTACTAACAACTTGTACACACTTCCTGCTATGTTAAAAGAAAGCAAGGTGGTAAAGATTCCAAATTATTATTCTTAATACAAAGCAATGAGCATGCCACATCTTTCTCCTAGAAATAAGAGTTAAAAGAAACAGTGCAGGTGCAGGATGAAGCAAAGAAAGCATCACTCCCATACTTATAAAGAGAGGACAGTAATTTATTATTTTTTTTTTTTTATTTTAGGGAACACAGATCTATTACAATGAAGTCCTAAGTTTCTATGTCTGAGTACAGACTAAATTTAAAATATTAAAACCCCACTCAATAGAAAAATAGAAGTAGTCCCGTACCCAGGGTTTGTCCTTAAAAGAAACCAGCCAAGACATCTTCAGACCTCATGAGCCTGATGTGGACACAAAGTTATATGCCAGGGATTCCTGCAGAATCAGGAGACTGAAATTAATGACAAGTATCTCTGTAAATCTTGTATCTTACTGGGATGCTGCTGGATTTAAGACAAACTTGATTGCAGGAAACAATGAAGCCTTTTTCCAAAATTCTTTGTGTCCAAGAGACTGCACATGATCCATCAGTGTACCAGGGTGGTTTACTCACAGGTAAAGTACAATTAACATAAAATGTAAACATAATTTTTATGTGCCTAAATATGGAAGTGTCTGAAATTGGATTCCAAGTACTCATTAAAGCATTTACTCTGCCTGCTAAGAAGGATTTCAGTCTGCAGCACTTTGTCCTTGCAGACAGTTACCATAGAAACAGCATTTCTCACTGTGCACTCCTTGCTGGGGTTGTGGGGGGAGAGGCAATGGGAATTAATGCATTCACAGTTCTTTGTACAATTTTATTACATTACCTGTAATTTAGAAATCTGTGCAATGATTTGAACTCTGTTTCATGGAAAGAGCTTCCCACAGCTGATCTATACAAATCATATTTGTATCTGAAAGACAGAAAATGATCTTGAAGTAAAAAATGATGGCTGCAATGCCACCAGTACACTTTACAAAAGAATTTTAGACACCATAAAGTGATATCACTGTAAAAACAGAAGAAAAAAACCTAAACCATATCTGCAATTAGAACACAGATAGGCTCTATTCTAAAAATAAATTTACTCTAGCTAAACTTCCAAACTTCTTTTACACATCTGGGTAGCTAAGAACTGAATCAATTGCAAATTGTAATCTGAATCTGATTCCTTCAAAGTTAACAACCCATAAGTTTTACCAATTAACCAAAATCAGTAAGGATACTTATGTGGCCATGAAATGAATCAGGAAGATAAGTTCTCACCATGACACAGTATTATCCTAAAGAAAATTAATTTGCCATCAGTTAAGAGGAACCACAATCCATTATAACCACTCATACACCTGTTAACTCACCCAGTTGCTTCAGCCAATCTACCAGGGTGGAATGAATCACTCAGTTCATATTCAGTGAAAGTCTCATTTTTACACAATATCTGGACTTGAGGACTCTAGAGAACCTTTGGGCGAGAAAACAAGCTAAGTGGGAACCACTGAACACTTATAACACTATAACCCATTAAATAAATAGTTAAATTGGGCATTTTGCGGGACTGAAATGCATTAATCCACTGATGTTTTAGAGACTACTAGGCTGATAGCCTGAATTCAGGTAGGACTCTTGAGTATTTTCTCATATGTTTTCTTCATTAATAATAATTTTGATTAAAATAGCATTAATGGAAGCATTTATGGATACATACATAAGAAATTAAGTTCTGCTAATGAATTTGTGTGGTGTGAAACCTATGTAGTCTAGAACACCCCTCTACTAAGGGCATTTAGCATCTCAGATGCAGTCACAATTCCCTTCCTTCCTTCCTTCCCATCTCTCTCTCCATAAATCTTGTGGTTCCTCTCTGCATAAGGTTCCATTTCAAAAGGTCAAAGGCTAGAGATTGTGGGGAAGAAACACAGATTGGTTTCACCCCAGCATTGCCTATGAGCTGGTGATTACAGAACTTTTTATGTGAATGACATTTTACAAGTCCATCAATTCTCTTACTTTTGAGGACAAAAAGCTATTAATTCCTAGAGTTGTATAAAAGACCCATCAGATTTGAATAATGTCACCAGGAAAGCAAGTCATTAAAGCTAACATAACCACCCAGGGAACATAGTACTTGTCTTAAAAACTGACACACACAGCAGCACAGGACTGAGGATTTATTTAGTTTACTCTGGGGGGTCTGGGCACTTAATTCTATGCAGCCGTACCTATGACACGTTAATGCTTCTTTGGATGTTATCAAAAGGAGATACAACTCTTGTGATAAAGCTGCCTTCCCACCACTTACACCCAGTTCTCCCAGTATTCTCAGTATCTTTTTCTCACCAGTATTACCTGCATATATAAATGAATGTTTCATTATACACATTATAGGTATTTTATTTAGAATTTTTACCAGAGGTAAAAAAAGAAATGCAATTTATGTTAGCAAATAAATAAATTCTGCTCTCTTTCAGCATCGTGGTGGGTCCTCAATAACAACTAGAAGCCGTGGTTCCAAATAACGTTAATGTTGTATTATCTTTCATTACACTAACATTCATATTGCAGTGTACAGGTGAATTTATGATGTGATAACTTTTGTTATTATGGATGGGATCTTTTCAACTTTATCCATTCTAAAATCTGGAAAACTGTGCATTTATTCCCTTTTCTTCTTGTGACTAGTTCAGTGAAATGATGCATTCTAAAAACTGAAATAAGACAAATATGAAAAACTATTTATTTCTGTGACAGTCCAAACTGTTTTATTACTGCATTAATAAACAACCATTACTTAATGCTGCTGTGGTCTCCTTTTACAAAAGAAAGAGGTATGAACCTGAACACACATTTTCATATGTCTGTGGAGAAGCTGTAAGCCATTAATGAAAACAATAAACATATGGACAATTCTTAGTGCTAATACAGAACTTCCCCCAGGATATTTTCTGCTCACAAAGAGATAAGGCAGTACTATCTTCTTTTAAGAGACTCTTAACCCTTACCCTCACAGGAGGAAACATATCTGCCTATCTGTTGTCACTACAGATCCCCAGACTGAGCATTGCACAACTTCTATGTCCTGACCACTCAGAAAATATTTTCTTTAGATCTCTGGCAGGTCACTGCAAAATCGTTAGAGAAACTGCAGTTACAGCATAAATAGCCACAAACCTCGAGTTTGGTTCTAGCAGGGTGCAGGGCTACTGTATACCCTTGACTGATGAACAGCACCATGTCCATGAGGGAGATCACCCTTTTCAACCAGCATGCAGCTTTGGTAGAGATGTACATGGAGCACTGAGGGAGGAAAGGGGACACCCACCGAGCCAGCCAGGTCAGCTCAATTAACTTGGTCATCAGTGGGGTGACAGATGTTGCAGCCAGACTGCCCTCACGTCCAGGGGCCTGGGGGTCCTGGTTGATTGAGCATGAGCCAGCAGTGCCCCAGCAGCCAGAAGGGCCAGCCCTGTCCTGGGGTACATCAGGCACAGCACGGCCAGCAGGGCAAGGGAGGGGATTGTCCCGCTCTGCTCTGCACTGGGGCAGCCTAAGCTCGAGTGCTGAGGGCAGTTCTGGGCACAACAGTGTAAAAGAGAGATAAAGCTATTTAAGAGTCCAAAGAAGAGCCATGACGATGATGAAGGGCCTACAGGGGAAGCCATACAAGGCGCGGCTGAGGGCACTTGGTTCGTTCAGCCTGGAGAAGACTGAGAAGAGACTTCATGGCAGTCTGCAACTTCCTCATGAGAAGAAGAGAAAGGATGGGTAGCCATCTCTTCTCTCTGGTGAGAGTGACAAGTGACCCAAAGGAATGCCATCAAACTGTGTCAGGGGAGCAGGCAAGTTGGATTATCAGGGAAAGGTTCTTCACCTAGAGGGTGGTTGGGCATTGGAACAGGCTCCCCAGGGAAGTGGTCACAGCACCAGAGTTCAAGAAGCATGGAGCTGGGAGCAAGCAAGAAGTGCCAGTCAAGTGTTTATTTAGAATTTATGGTTAGGCAAAATATATGGCTACATAACAGAAACAATGCAATGACAAAATTTTGCCACACCAATATGTAAAATTATTTATTTTCACTTTAATCATATTACCATTTCAGGCATTACAAATTAAAGGTTTGTCTCTTAAAGCATTCAGGCAATTACAGGAAGAAACAGGCATTTTCATACGTTTCACAGGGTCGTACTTCCATCTGCAGGCACCCAAGTACCTGCAAAAATCTTGAAGACCTACATCAAATGTAGCTCCCTCATTTATAGACTTTGGATCCTCCAAACAACATGTCACTTCTTACAGATGTCAATGAAAGGTTTGTTCTTTACCTGTAAGACAAACCAACCCTCAAATTACTTCAGCTATAATAGATCACTTCAAGTTTTCATTTCAGTTTGCTTGTAACTCTTTTCTACTCCATGTACATTCCACAACTGAGATTTTTTTTTATTATGGCAAACAGTTCTATTTTCATTAATCATAGAGACTTCATCTAAAATTTTCTTATTGTGTGTCAACACAGTAACATGCATTCAAATGCTGAGCTAAGTATTGGTAGCCCTGATCTCCACATCTCAAAAAACCCCAGTGTCCTGCGGGACAAATACAGTCCACAGTCCATCAACTGTAAAAACCGCATCTCCCTGTACAAGTCATTCTAGGAACTTTTCTTCATCTGAAAATACAACTTTTACTCATAAATGGGCACATGTTTCAGCAGTGGCTTCAAAAATTCAGAACTAGGACTGACTTAAGTATGAACTGCCTGAATACCCAGCTCAGCAGCAAACTGTTGAAAACCACCCGGTCCAAAATATAAGCTCACTGACGCTGTATGATTGTCTATAATTAGAAATTTATTTGCAGGCCACCTTCTGACACTTTTAAGCATAATTCACTTAATTTACACATGCATCTCATCAATCCCTCTGGTTTCTGTGCAGGAAAATAGATGATGTGATCAGTCAACAGGCTGGAATTTTGGATGAACTAGGTGACCTCACTGATTTCTGTAGGGACCCTCCCTTTTCCTAGGAATGTAAACATCTGAAAGCAAACAGATCATCAAAATTTGCCACTCTAAGAAATACAGTTGGTAGGAGAGGGGGAAAGTTAGGAAATTAAAGGAAATTAAACTTTAAAAGGAAATTAGGAAATTTCCTTAGGAAATTAAAGAGCTAAGACTTCTGAATCTGAAATCAGGTTTTCAAACAAATAAAGCTTTCATCTTGAGGGTAAATAGAAAGACATAAAAAACAAGATCAAGGAAAGCTGATTATGGTCCTATGTTAGTTAATTTTTGTTTCTTCAAAGGACAGAAATTTTAAAAGTTTAAAAATGCCTCCAAATGTGGCCTACACAATCATCATGTGGACACACTTTTTCATAATAGGAATCCTATTTCCAACAGGACTACATCCCAATGATCTCGAAAGCAACCTAATATGTAGCCTAATTTGACATGATGTTTACACAGAAAATTTTCCCACACTTGGAGTCTGGAATGTGATCCAATTTTAGTGTATGAAGTATTTGAGGATTCTTTCATCACAAAAATAAAGGTAGCACACATGGATATCCTTCACATTCATCATTCACTTCTATTAATTTCTCCCCAAAACCAAAGATAATGATAATACAAACTGCAATGAGCTCATTAATAGTTTTGTAGTGGACACTGATGCATAAACAATTCAAACATGGATTAAGACTTTTACCAAACTGGAAATTTATCAAGATTGCTCTCTTTTCTTTTGAAAACGTGTAAGTATATCTGATCTTTTTCTGTAAACAAATTAAAAACCCTTTTCCTTTATATGGTAAAGGGGTACCCAGGGTAAGATGTCAAATACCAACCGGAGAAGTTACATACAAAAGTTGTGCTGAACTGCACAACCTGTCCTATAAAGGTTTTATCAATTCGGCAGGCCAGTTTGAAGGAAAATGTTTCCTTTCAAATGGCTTATCAAAACCTCCATGGATGATTTTATAACTTCATTTACTACAAAAAAATGCACTTACTGGCTTTTCAAGTACAATTGGGTGATCAGGAAGAAACTCTGGTTTCTTCTGAGAGAGAGAAACATTTGAAAGCTTCAGAAGGAAATCTCTGCTGTATTGGATCCTTTCTGTGAATATACAAAATCACTAAGTTCAACATTCTTGTTTAAGGGATTAAGATTGTGAATTCAGAAAAATTATTTGGTTACTTATAAAATGGTAGAAATACTACACGTGGAATATAAAAAACAGTTTTAAAAACAGAAGTGATTTAGGTCTTATCTTGCATCAGGAAAATTTGAAGTAAATTACAGAGCATTCCACTTTAACTGTATCAAACTGACACAGTAAATCAACACAAAAGAAGAAAAAAGGTGAATCCAACCATACACCAGACTCCCTGTATCTTGTTCTAATTAGCAGAAACACTACAAACTGGTCTTGAAACCCACAAGAAAATATGTTTATAACTCACTCCAAAGTGGCACCTATTTCTGAGGGACAGATAACAGATAACTGTCTCCTTTCTTGGAGCTAGTAAGTTAAATGTCTTTCAACACCTAGAAGGAATGATGAGATCTGCTGCATGTAAAATGGCAAACAGATTTATAGCAGTGAAATACTTTCGAGGGATTACACTGAATCAACAAGAGTCAAAGCCTTTGCTCAGAACATGTAGGTTTCTCATTTGAGCTTATAGCACTTTTTCTACTATGTCACAGCTTTGGATATAGTATGTCTAGCAATGTCTGTATTTAAACTGATATTCTCAAACAAGAGAAGAAGCAAGAAGAAAGGAATTAGGCAAAGAAGGTACAAACTTTATCTCTGGTCCTTGATGACAACAAAGCTTATTCCTTTAGGAATGATGGGCTTCCTACAAGATTGTCACTTGATGGACAACAGTTTTTGTTTCTCAGACTGCAGAATGTTGAAAAGAAAGAGACTGATATCAACTATGACATGAATTTTTTCCTGCCTTTGAACACAAACAATGCAGTAACTTGTGAACCTAAGGGAGGGCATGTGAGTAACTTTGAAAAAAACAGTTTAAAGAATACAAGAATACTGTAAAACTTAATGCTTGTAGTTTCCTCTCCTTTATTAAAAACCTATGAAGATGATGACATCTGTAAGGCCTCTGACACAATCCCCCACAACATCCTTCTCTCTAAATTGGAGAGATGTGGCTTAGATCGGGGGACTGTTCACGGGGTGAGGACCTGGTTGCATAGTTGCATCTGATCTCATGTTGGAACAAGTCCAGAGCAGAGTCCCTAAGTTGATCACAAGGCTGGAACACCTATCCTATGAAGACAGGCTTAGATAGTTGCTCAGCCTGGAGAAGAGAAGGCTTTGGGGAGACTTTGGGGCAGCCTTCCAGTATCTAATGGAGGCCTACAAGGATAGAGAGGGGGACTTTTCAGAGCCATGTAGTGATAGGAAAAGGGGGAATGGCCTTAAGCTGAGGGACAGTAGGTTTAGGTTAGATATAAAAATGAAATTCTTTACTGTGAGGATGGTGAGGCACTTGAAAAGGCTGCACAAAGAAGTTATGGATGCCCAATCCCTGGGAGTGTTCAGCATCATGCTGGGTGGGGCTTTGAGTAACATGGTGTAGTGGCAGGTGTCCCTGCCCATGGCAGGGGGGTAGAACTTGATGATGTTTTAGGCCTCTTCAACCCAAACCATATTATGATCCAAAGAGTAGTGGTCATGTCTGGATGGAGATCAGTGAGTGATGAGTGGTATCCCTCAGAGTTTCTTATTTGGACCAGTACTGTTGAGTGTCTTCATCAATGACAGACAGTGGGATGAACTGCACTCTCAGCAAATTTTCAGGTAACACCAAGCTGAGTGGTGTGGTGGACACACCTGAAGGACAGGATACCATCTAGAGAGACCTGGAAAAGCTCAAGAAGTGGGCCCATGGGAACCCCATGCTGCACTTAAGAACAGCAGAGACAGATAATTCAAAGCACAGTACTGCTGAAGAGATATCAAATGGAAATTATTATCTGGAACTTGAAGTACAGCTGAACATAAACAGAGTTCTATAAGAAATTTTACTGTGCTAGGAAAAGAAGAAAACAAAATATTTGTTTGTAAGCAAGCAGTAGCTGAATTGTAGGACCTCTAAAGCTGTGTAACTCTGAAGGAAATATTACAACAATCAGCAATCAAACAAAAGCCCTTTGGAAAAAAGTGTGATAAAAAGTTCAGCAGTGCGGAGAATTGTGGAATAGACTCAGGGAGGCACCACAGAGCAATTAACCACTGGAAACGATCCAAAGAGACGGCTTATGCAAGAGACCAGGATTTGACGAGAACCTGCTTAAGATCTTGTAGAACAAAACAATCTCTACCCACCACAACCAGAATTGATGAGAAAGGATCAGAAAGACACCACCAGACAGATAAAACTTGACAAGTCTGTCACCTAACTAGATCCAAAAACCAGAACTCTCTTCTATTTATCAAGATCAAAAATAGAAGAAATTAACCTGAGTTTGAAAGGAGATACATGGAAGACTTATTTTCAAGTCAGTAACACATGACAGAACAGAACTAATGCTCAAGACCCTGAGAGATGGGAACCTAAGACTGACAAAAATACAAAAGCCTCATTAAAACTTAATATAATTCTTTCAAATTTTGAGTACGAAGAGCAAAAGAACAAACCACATCTTCAGAGATTACTTAAGGATTGGAGATTACAGATGGATGCCTGATTACAGGCAGACACGGACAAAATAAAGAAACTCTCAATAAACTGGTGACCTAACCTGGGTCACTGATGCAGTTTCTGTGATATGCTTAAGAATGAAGAATTAGGGAAGAAGCAGGAAGTACTGTGAGCATGCATTTGAAATCTGAGATTATCCATTAACAAAGAAAAAAAGGAATAAAATTTTGACTTGGTTAAACTACCAATTCTCTATGAGTACAGTGGCAGGCATCACAGAGAGAAAAACATTAGAAGCTAACCTTAAGGACAGTACTGACACAAAAACAGATCATTCAGGATAATAATAAAAATTAACAATAAACCAAATTAATAATAATAAAAATTTAATTAATATCTAACCACCCAAATACTGTTATTTTACAAGAAAGCCAAAATGATGAGTTCTTAACTTGATTACATTCGTCTGTATGCAACAATTGAGCCCTGCAACAGGCTAAAGGATGCAAATCAAATCTGTACTTCTACACACAGAGGCAATCTATACAAACCCAGGATTCTGTGTGAAGAATTTTTTTTATGTTTGGGGTCTGTTTTTTCAGGGGGTTAGTTGTGGTTTTTTATTTGTTTGTTTGGTTTGGTTTGTTTGGTTTTTTTTAAGACAGTTATACCCCTATATAAAAGCAAGTCTACCAGTTTTCCACCTCAGTTATGGTCAAACTTTACACCTTTTACACTCCCTAGAGTGTTATGTGAAAAGTGGAAAAGTTTCATATTCTCCAAAATATCAATGCACTAGCTGATCAGAAACCATAAAGTGCAGCCCACATCACTTCAAAGTTCAGTTGTCCTCCATCCAGAAAATACAATCCTGACACAGCTCCCCATGCAGTATTTTACCTTTTTTTGCTCCTGATTCATGTTGTTTTGGTTGACAGAGCATCACAGTTTGAGTTAAGATCTTCACTTCAGTCATTTCAGATGACTAAAACAGGAAGGAAAGTGATGAAGCTTATCTCCTTAAAGCATGTTAAAACAAGGATATATGTTTCTTAGTTAAAAGTAACAGTTGTAGCACACATTAATTTGAACCTGTAGAATGTAACTCTTGATTGCAAACAATAAGGAAATAGTTTGATAAAACAATACATCTGAACATACTGGAGAGACATTTTTTACACAGAATTTTACAGTGCTCCAGCTAGTTTTTAAAACAAACACATTTATCCCTTCCTTTTCTATTATCCCACCTAGAACACAGTCACAAGCTACATTCGGGAATAATACAAGCAGGAAGGACTTTCCTTAAGACCAAAGGATGGACTTGGATTCTCTCACTTAGCAAAAAGGTTTGCTTCATAAGCACCAAGACCCAATATCCACAGTATAATGCCAAGTTTTTTCCAGCTGCCAAAACCTTGAAGAACGTTCAAGGTTTTGGAAAGTTGAAAAGTAGTTTATCCTCAAGAGCTTGTCTTAGCTCTGAAAAGGCTGTACAGGTTTGAGGAATATTAACATCACTCTGAGTCAGATGGGAAGTGGGAAAAAACTGAAAATTGCTCATCAAGATAGGAGACTATTCAGATGATATTTGGGGTACCCATGAAACAGTTCATGGTCAAAACTATTATTAAAATTTCTTTTCCGTATACAATATTAAAGAAGACATTTAAAAAAATATAAAAAATACATCTATACTTATATCAAACAAATGCAATATGCAGCTACATGTAGCTTAACACTGATGAAACTGAATATTACAACACTGATGACCAGAGACTTATTTAAAAGGGAGTAGTTTGTTCTCCTCAGTAATTACTGCTAAAGAGACAACTGTGTTAATTTCTCTATGTAGGATCAAAGATAAGCTTGCAAGACCTTGACTTTTTTATTTTTTTTAAAGTAAAAGGCAGCTTGCAGAAGCTTAATACAGCGAAGAAGGACTACAGAATTACTAAAAACCTTCTAAAATAATAAAAAAATAAAGTAAAAATTAAGGAACATTTGTTCTAACAAAACCCCTCATCTATCAATGCTTTGAAAAAACATTCAAATCAGAATCAAGAGAAAGGCAAATTCAAGCTATGAAACATGATACATTCCAGTTGGAAGACTTAAAACTTCATTTTCCAGGAAACAGCTACAACCAATTTCAAGTCTGAAAAACATATCCATACCATGTCCAAAGCCAAGCACTTCTACCAATAAAGCATAAACTTTTATGATGTTTGCTGTCTGAAATGAATTTTTGCATGTGCTAACAACAAAAAAAAAATCTTATTTTTTTATTTACACATAATAAGTGAAGACAGAATACATGCATTCTAAATTTAAAAGAGCTGACTTAAATTCAGTGAGGACTAAAGAAATGCCACACAGATTTTCACAAGAATCTTAAATTCCTAAGCTGCATTTTTCAGATATTAATGCTTGCAAATACCAGGGAAAAGCATTCCTGAAACTTAAAATACTTTTTAACAGTTCTGACACTGCTGGTTTAAAACGTTCAGAGTCAAGGACACTCCTGGATGGAAATAGTTTTCATCTGGTTACATAACAGATCAGCTGATCTTCAATTTATAAATAATTATATATTTAGTCAATACTCACCCAGTTAACCTTACTCTGCAAACATACTTCAGTGCTGCTGGGTAATTCAGTCCGAATGTTTAAAGCAATGGGTGATGCTGATGAGCATAAAACATCAGGAAAAAACAATTTCAGTAGATTCCACAGTATTATTTTGTGATACTTGCCCCAAGAACAGTCCTTCTTGCACAGAGATTATATGGGCATTTATTCACAGCTTAGAAGCTCTAGATCACCACAAGACCCCTTTTCCATTTCTTCCATAAATTTTATACAAAGTAAAAATTTATGATGTCACTTAGCTTTAGTCCACCATAGATTTTATGACCACCAAAAATTTCTAACTTAACAATAATAACAAGTGTAATACTGCAATATCTAGGCTTTAATCTATAGAGGTTTAAAATTTAAACCAATATATTCACACCTAACATGAATACTGCATGATTTTTTTTCTTAAAATTTTGTGGGGTTTTTTTTCATTTTGAATTTGTATGAAAGCTAGGTAAGAACAATGCAGTGCAGTGCACTGTACTTGCAATAAAACCTAAATAATCTGTTAAATTATGTGTATTTTATGTTTTCAATTGTTGGAGTCAGCTAACCCAAGAAATCCAAATTTAACGGAGAAGCCCAATCCAGCTTTCTGAAGCTACATTTCAGATGCCAAGCTAGAAGAGCAGTACCAAAGAGCTCTGCATAAACCTAATATAGTTTAAATTCAGATTTTATCACAGAGATGATGTACTAAGATCAACATACAGCAAGGTATTCACTCACTGTAGTTTAACAAAGTAATTTAAAAACAGAACAAAGCAAAACAAGACACTTTACACATCCTTGTTACTTCCCTAAACCATAACCTAAACCTTGGTAAAGTGAACTGCACCTGAGCCATGCTACTCACCTTGTTTAGAAGACAGTTGATGTGCAGGTCGTGCTGGCTGAAGGGATTTACCAATAAACTTTTTTGCTTCTGTAACATTTTGAAACATCGCACTTCAAAAAAGCAGCTGAAATCATTAGCATTCAGTTTCACATACGGATGTTAAGCAAGAAGAGCAATCTACCTACTCCTTGTTAGTTGCATTTGACAAGGCAATATTATATCTAGGCAGGAAAAAGCAGAAAGGTCTGATGTGTAAATTTTTTTAGATGATTGAACATGCTGGATAAAATCTGCATGAAGACAGAATCAGACACTTCTCTCATTTTTCCTTCCAATTGAGCTACCCTAGCTTCTTCTCCAGAAGATTCTTTACCTGTATGTCTCTGGACATGTTTGGTGAAAGAAGATGGGGACATGATGGAAATAAGGGGGTTTCTAACATTTCAGTTCAGTGAGTTTTTAATTAATTAGCATCAGCATGCCCCTTATCAATCTGCTGTCTGCACAGGAGTTCCTTACATATCTATATAGATTTACAGGACTGTTTTTTAATAGCTACTTTACTTAATTAGCTAAGGTGGTGCTGGGCTGAAAAATCTCACACTTTAAGTAAGCAACCAGTTGGAAAATGTTCATTTGTAGTACCTGTATCTTTATGTATCTCCTTCTCATTCCCATCTCTTTTGTCAACTGGGAGATTTTATGATTTGAAGGAATTTCAGCTTTTTTTAGAGGAAAAGAATCCCAGAAAGAACAACCTCCACTATAAAAATTATACTGATTTTTTTTTTCTCTAAGAAAGTTTACAAGACAAGTGAATAATTGTTATGGCAAAACAAAAAATTCATTAAATAATCATGACTGCAAGAGTTACAACTACATTTTTCATATTCAGTATGAAACAGGAAAAGAGAAGCTAGGATATTAGACCCAGTATCATACCCAACTTCAGCTGGTCTTTGTGTTATAGGAAGAAAACTAAAAATCATCAGAGAATTTACTACATTATAATTTTTTGAACACTTCTAACATAGTCAAATAACAATTTTCCAACATATGAAGTTTGAGGCCACCCAGGTCTAGAAACCATCTGTTTGATGGTTATTGTCTGAATTAGAACAATTTAACTAAAGCTAGGAAAAAAAAAATCTGTTTTGATTCTCATATTTTCCTACCCAATCATCTTAAAAAAGGAAGACTTCAAAGCTGTAGTCAAAAGCAGCAATGAAATTTCCTGCAGCTGAATTAACTAAGACTACAAATATGGATGACATATTTCATTTTACCCATGTTGGGAATGCTTGTACAAATCACATTTATCCTAGATAGTGAATTTCCACAGAAAGTAATGCAGTAATAATACACATTTGCATCAAAAGAGTGAAAAAAACCAACAAACAGGCAAGTTTTCGTTCATGCCCTGATGACAAATGATATGCACGCTTTTTAAAAACAGGAAACCTGTTTAAGAGGCTGGCTAGCTGCTAGAATGCAGCACACATCTATTTTTTGTAGTGTTCTGACAATGAAAACAAGTTGTGTGGTGACAGCAAAACAACACATTTTTCCACTCTTCCCTCACCCTCCCCCAGGAAGACTCTAGAAAAGATCTCAACAAGTTATCTAGCCCAATCTGCTCAATTAATAATGTTCCTTCTGACCAGTATCAAGAAAAGTGGAGAAAGATTCGTTTTAATAGCTGAGGAATAAACTGCTTCCATGAGAGACTACTGCAGTAGGGGCAGCATCCCAAGAATTGCCCCTTCCAAGGCCACACTGCTTCTCTGGGGTCATCCCCGTGGGAGACCTGCCCAGCAGAAGGGAAGCCTTCTGGCACCAGCAAACAGGCCTAGGAACAGTTCTGTAGAACCCAGGAATTTTTTTTTAGTATCTTAACAAGCTGCGCATTGACTGCAGCCATCCTCCAAGAGCCTATCTCAAGTGTCTAAAGGCGTGAAGGGGATTTGACGCTATTTTCGTGGAAAATCCCCACGAGTAATCAGAAACTGACCGTCTCCCCTCGCCCGAAATGGCACCGCACTGGGAACCCCACAGATCCCAAGAAACAAAACCTCCCTCCGCCATCCGGCCCCGAGCCCCCTGCCCAGTCCTCGAGCTCCCCTTTGGGCCGGGGGATGCCCAGCCCACCTCCAGCCGCCGGCAGCACCCCTGTCCCGCGATGCCGCTGGCCGTGGGTCCCGCTGAGCCCGCTCCGTCCCTCAGCGCGGCCGGGCGGGGCGGCCTTCGCGCGGCGGCTCAGCCGCGGCCGCGTGCCGGGCCGGGCCGTTCAACGTCGCGCCGCGGGGCGGCCACGGCCGGGGCTGCGCCGCCGCTTCCCTTCGCTCCCCGCCGCTTCCCTTCGCTCCCCGCCGCTTCCCTTCGCTCCCCGCCGCTTCCCTTCGCTCCCCGCCGCTTCCCTTCGCTCCCCACCGCTTCACGCACCTCCTTGGGATTCAGAGAAACGGGGCACACCTGATAGTTGCCTTACGAGGCCTTGCCAAGGCGCACGAGAAGCGAGATGAGGTGCTGCTGCCCAGCTCCCTCTGGGGTTAGACCTGAGAGGGACTGGAAATAGATAAAGGTGGTGTCCTCGTTTGTCCCACAAAGGGAGTCATGTACCTTACATGGTGTACCTTACAGGGCCTTACAGTGGAAATTGGGAGAAATAAGTGAGTTTTGAACACAGTTGTGAGGCCTCTTCAGCTAACCTCATCCAAAAAGAAAAGTGCAATTCGCAGGCCTTGGAAAGCTGTCAGTGAATTGGAATACTGCCCTCACCGATCTGCCCCATGGCACTGGGCAGGAGGGACCAGAGAACGGCCTCTGGCTTCTCAGTTATGGAAGTGACGGCATCCTGTATGGTTTGGAAATTCAGATTTTTTTATCATTTTTTTCTCACAACGTGTTATTGACAGTAACAATGAACTCACCCTGCTAACTCCCAGTGGAGCACACTAAACTTCCCTGATGTTGGACTTCACCTTACTTAGGTATACAGTATTAATTAAAAGTCCTTAAGTTTTTGCTGGTATTTTTAACATATATATTTCCTATCAACTACTAAGAACTCCAGAAGTTCAGAATAGGAAGGTAACATCAAGTAGATAATCACATAAATAACAAGTAATTAATTATTAATATCCAGTGCTAAGATTTTTAGTTCTGGCTAGTTTGTAAAGAATGTTTTATTGTTTCCATCAAGCATATTGGCTCTGCTGTGCTGCAGTCTCTGAATTTTATTAACTTAGGTATTCAGAAATGAATACTGTCCCTGAAATAGTGGCTATCATAAACAGATGTCAGCTCCTCAGTCTTCTCTCCTGACACATCATCTTCCAGTTGGTTTCCTGACCTGTTCATGCATGATGTGCTATCAGCCTTCTCTTTGCAGACACCGTTGCAGCACATCTTCATACTCACTAACCCATTTGCTGCTGATTTAAAGTAATTTCTCCCAAGTGAATTAGTTTATACTCAGACATGTCCTGTTTCTTCTGACCCATCATCCATTCTCACAAGATTGTCATATAAAACAGTTGCTCTCCTATTATCAACCATTCCCTTAGCTACATAAGAACTAATTATAAATTATTAATATGTAAGTGCCCATAAATATTAAATGTCTCTGGCTGTTACTCCAGAACTGTTACTGATGGGAAAGTCAACAGGGCAACTAAAATAAAGATACGGTTTTTCATGGGGCTGTTGTGCTTTTTCAAAGAGGCATGTCAGGTGGTGCACACACAAGATCAACACTGCCCTTCTTAACATATTGAAATGGTATCATGTACAGATATAGAAGTACTCTTACAGTATTATTTTTGCATATTTAAATATGCTAAGGATGAACTAAACAGTAAAAGGTCTCACGTGTGTTTTTCAAAGGGGCTGCTGGGTTATAAGGCTGCTGGGTTATAAGGAGAAGGGGTAGGAACAGAAATATGGGGAAAAAAAAGGAGCGTGCCAGGTATTTTGAAAGCTTGTTGCTTCTGGGCCTGCTGGGAAGATGGGAATATTAGGGCTGGTAATGGCTGTTTTGCAAGTCACTGCCCATCCCAGCAGGAATAGTTGTCAGCTCACACGCTGTTGGCAATGCCTGGCCTAAGGAGCGCTGGACTGCAGCCACTGCACAGACCTCAGCAACCTGCTCTCCTAAGCGACTTCACTGTGCCTAGAGAGAATTCTGACTGTGGGAAATGAAAACACAAAGCGGAAAAAACACTAGCTTGTCTGTTGTCTCCCAGATTGCGTGGTGCTGGCAATTACACTACTGAAAATTTCTATTTAATTTGGTTGGTATTGTTTATGTTCTTACATTAAATGACGATAATCTAATGTTCTCTCAAATACCTGATGTATACAGTAATTAATTTGAAGGGCCAATGACAGGTCTAGCCAAGAAAGACTTACTGAATGTTGCAAAATATAAATTTTAAAGGTTTTTGTTGCTGTGTGAACAAAATGCTTATATGTAGGGGAAAAAACCACCCCAAAACCAACTGGTTTTTCTATTGGTGAACTAATCAGGGAAATTATTTCTTTTTTAACATAGTGATTGTGCTCCTAAAGGCTGCAGATTGCAGAAAGTGACAGTCACTCTTGCTCTCTGTACTAGATATGGTTCAGGAAAGCAGAAAACATTTGTTAAAGACAGTATCAATACTGCACGTGTACAAGCGAGCAATTGGACATCTAAATGAGCGTGTAATTGTAATTGCACGTGATTTTAGGTTTGTAGTGGATGGCACTTAACAGCAAAGTAATGGCTTTGTGCTGAAATGAAAGGACTCTTGGGTCAGCCTGAGGGCAGACTTGTAGCTGCAAGTTTAAAAAGCCATTTTCAGTGTAATTTAATACTCAGTTGTGCAGCCAAATGTAATCAGTCTATTTGCATATGTAATTGTGATTTATTTAGCAGTGCTTTTTTGTGAGACTTTTTTTTCTTAAAGCTGCTTTCAAAATAATTTCCTCTCAAAGCAAAAATAAAAAACGGAAGCAACCCTCCCCCCAAACCATTATTTCCAATGCTGTGTGCTTTATTAAGTTAGTTAACAGAACAAACACCGAGAGATGAGTATGTATATGTAAATATATATATGCACACACAGAATATTATGGTTTTACTTCTGTGAAGTGGCTACTTTCAGCTAAACTAGTGACTTGCCCTGTTGAGGCAGCCCAGGGAAAGAACACAAAAACTCTTTTACCCCCTGACTGTTCCTGAAATTGAGCTACTTAATATATTGAGGTTCAACTTTCAATAGAGTTGAGAAGTCAGAATATTAATCATGAGTATTAATCTAGTTGTTTTTGACTACAGAAACTGTTGAATGAAAAGTGGGAAGCTATTGATGTATTTTGTGCTTACTATGTGTAACTAGAGGAATGTTTATGATCAGCATATAGTACTATATAAAATAATACACCCAATTTATTTTCTTCACATGCAAAAATTCTCTCAAGTCTGTCAACTGTCACACTTCTCAAATTAGGATTCTGTATTTTCCTTTAAAATTAATTTTCTGGTAACATTAATTTTAACACATTCTCAATATTTTTCTTTAAATTTCTGATTCCTTTAAATGTGGAGAAAGAAACTCAACAACATGGGTCAAAAGCACTGTGTAAGTACCAAAAAATCCCTAAATGACAGACAAAATTATTTTATAAATAAAATATATATCAAAACTAAACATTTGTTATTTTGGGGGAGGTCTGCTTTGTTCATCTCTGTCACTAAGGATGGCAGTACTGAATTGCAGAGTAAATTACTGCACTTGAACTGAAGGTGCTTTCAGGATGCGCTGAATATTCTCAGTAACTGCAGACACTCAACATGATTGTTTCAACTGACCTTACCTTGTAGGCTCTGAAACACCAGCTGCATGTCCTGCTTCTTGAGAGGGATCCCAGAAGCCAAAGGCAGGAAGATTAAAAGGCAGAAAGGCCCATGAAACCTTTAGGCTGTGCTGTGTCATGGAGTAGCTGGGCAGCAGAGTGTGCACTTATTGCCAGGACCTGCACTGGCACTGCACCTTTATCAGTGTTGCCCTTCTGTTTTGATACACCAAAAGGGTGTCTCTGCTGAAGAATTAGACTGTGGAGAGCACAGCTCAGATGCAGAGCTTGAGTTTGCTATGTGATTTCATTGGAGAGTGGAAAAAGATGCCATGGGACAGTTGATGCATAGAGAAGGAAAACTGATATATTGCAGCTAATAGCTTGTTGAACTTGCTTCATATATAAAGGAGACTGTTAACAAGTATCAATTTTATATATTTTTTTTTGCATTAACAAAAGAATAAGGTAAAGAAGTTAGGAAAGATTTGTGGTTCTGCGTAGAATCAATCAATAAAAATTCATCTTATTATTCATGACAAAGTCTTATAATCTATAAGTCTATAATCTACCACATACACTTAGCAGCAGATAGATGAAATAAAAGACAAAAAAACCCCACACACATACAGTTCTCTTGTGTGGTTTTAGCTATTCACAGGGAAAGAGACTCTTTAATAACTAATAATATTCCTATACCAGTTCATTTTGCTTTGGGAGAGCTGAAATTCTGAAATCACAGCTTAATAAATTAATAAATTTAGTGAAATTAATAAATTTAGTGAAAGTTCTGTACTTTATTCCTGGGCCAGGACTTCACCTGTTACTTGTATAGATGCCTTTTCTTTGAATTCTTACACCAGATGCGCATGTCATAGCTGAATTACAAGACCTTTATATATGCTGGAGTTAGTCTCTGAATCTGAAAAAAAGTCTTCAAGAGAAATCAGGTCATGCTTCAGTGCAATGAAGAATTCTGCTTTCCAGTATTTCAATCATGGGAGTTGGGTTTAGTTTTTAGGCTGAGATTGTTGTCATAGCTTTTAATACCACAAGTATATATAGAGTCTTATTACTAAGACATTGCTACCTTTAGATTCAGACTTAATCAGCATGATTCAGCAAATGGCACCAAAACCTCTACTGATAAGTAAAAATGCAGTAGAATGTGGACAGAATAGTCAGGAGCATAACAGAAAAAAAAAAAAAAAAAAAAAAAAACAAAAGTTTGGTATGTGACAAAAGGA